CTTACCCTTATGTATATACCTGGACACTCAACACCTGCACACGACACACCTGTTCGGTAAGTGTGGCGTCCTACTGATACACCTGTTAGCGCTTAGAGGGAGTGAGGGAGGTGTAAACTGCGCCTCTACTCCTGCTGCTGCGCCATTATCAGTAGTCACATTCTTTTGGTTCGTGAGGTGAATGCGGCTCCCACCTCTAGGTGTCAGAATGTATGTAATTGGTTGATTTATCATGTGACACTAAAACAACTTCCCTAAAACTGCATTAAATATCTACCTTAACTAGATACCTTCACTTAAGACACCAGTTAAGAGACAAAAGTTAAGTTATAGAATATCTAGTTAATGATTCCCTGCCTTCTTCAGTCCACACTATGAGTTTCTTTCTTCTCGTATCCGTCCATCAACCTAACTTAACCTAACCTAACTTAACCTAACATTCCTCACCTAACTTAACCATCCTTGTTTTTCATGACTCAGCAGATGTAGGTTGACCTTGTTAGTGTGTCAACAATTCGGCCTTCAGGGGACACACCCAGGAGCATCTCTCTTCACCCATCACCATGTTGAAAGGTGAAGGAGTTTAGTTAATAGAGTCACCTAAAGATTAACCCCCCCAAGCTTATTAACCTTAATTAACTACCCTGACTCTAACCTAACCTAACCTAATCTTATATAACCTAACCTAACATGACCTAATCTAATCTAACATAAACTCCCCAAACCTTACTTAACATAACCTAACCCACAGGTAACATGAGGGGTCTTTAATTAACAGGTGAAATAAGCTAGGAGGGCAGTCCAGTTTAGACCAAACCCCTATCGCTCCTGGTTGGATAGGTTGAGTACCTTTGTTATATCACCTTTGTTTAGCCCTGACTTCCATTTATACAGATCGATCATATCGCCCCTCACTCCACGTCTCTCGAGGGAGTGCAGATTAGGATGCTTTAACCTGTCTCTGTACTCAAGGTTCCTAATGCCCGGGATTAGAATTATCATTCTCCTCTGAATTCTTTCTGGGGATTCTATATCCATTCTGCAGTACGGTCACCAGACCTGAACCGCGTAATCCAGGTGAGGATTCACAAGTGCAAGATATATATAGTTTTAGGATGACCTCGCTAGTCTTGTAACTAACACTCCTTTGTATGAACCCAGTACTCCGATAGCCTTGTTTCGAGCAAATACACATTGTTTACTTGGCTTAAGATTCTTACTTATCATTACTCCTAAATCTTTCTCACAGTCGAATTTCTCTATAACAACGTTGTTCATCTGGTATCAGGTTTCTCTGTTTACATCTCCTAGACTAAGTACTTTACATTTGTCCACATTTAATTTCATCAGCCATTTTCCAGACCATGCGAACAATTTGTTTAGATCTTCCTGTAGTTTTGCGGACTCCTAGTCAGATTTAATTACACGCCCGATTTTAGTGTCGTCAGCAAATTTACTTATGTTGCTGTCTACGCCTATATCTATGTCGTTTATATATATAATAAATAGTAATGGTCCAAGTACTGAGCCTTGGGGAACTCCACTAGTGACGTTATCCCAATCGGATTTAGTGCCCTTAATGCTCACTCGCTGTTTCCTGTCCTGCAACCACGCACCAATCCATTTTAGAACATCTCCTCCAATGCCACGAGCCTCCACTTTTCGTATTAGACTTTCGTGGGGGAACTCTGTCGAAGGCTTTACTAAAGTCGAGGTAAACCACATCATAAACGGACTGGCCAGGCAAAACACGCCAGCCAGTGTACTAGGTATAAATGCAAGCGGCTGTACATTCAGATACATTATTACGTATGAAACCTTAGTGAACACCTGTACAGTACCTCTCAGGTGTTCAGGTCATGTACACAGCCTTTTCCACCTGAGTTGTCGCGACCCAACCTGCCTGCACTTACCGGGTACAGCAGAACCAGTCTTGGCCTCCCCCACACCCTCCTCTCTCCCCACACACCCTTCCCACACCCTCCTCTCTCCCTACACACCCTTCCCAACCCCCCTCTCTCCCTACACACCCCTCCTTTCCCTTACCCAGATCTGACCTAGCCCTACACCTGAGGGTCGTATCACTTCTCACAGCCACGCAGGACAGAGGTTCATGCACAAATAAATGGATCATATTCATTAACAGTATATATAGGTCAGAGTCATGTGGGTGATGTCACTGTTCACTGCCACACAGGACAGAGGTTCACATACATTAGACGCCATATTCTAATTGAGGACTAATCAGTGTGGGCTAGCAGCAAATTTTGGATAAATAGCAAGAATGTCTTCACCTCCACCTTTTTGTCTTCACACGGGAGGGAGAGAAAGAAGGAGGGAGAGAAGGGGGGAGGGAGAAGGAGGGAGAGAAGGAAGGAGGGAGAGAGAAGAAGTGATGGAGGGAGCAAGAGATTTACTGTACCTTAACACGAGACTAAGAGGTAAGTTCAGGGAGGGAGAGAAGAGGGGGAGGGGAGGGAGAGAGGAGGGAGAAGGAGGGAGAGAAGGAAGGAGGGAGAGAGAAGAAGTGATGGAGGGAGCAAGAGATTTACTGTACCTTAACACGAGACTAAGAGGTAAGTTCAGGGAGGGAGAGAAGAGGGGGAGGGGAGGGAGAGAGAACACACGCCACCTCCAGATGATAAACAAAAGAGACAAACTCATAACAACATCGGGACTTACCAGAGTTACGCCACATCCTCAGGCACTCAACAACACACTCACTCACACACTCAACAACACACTCACTCACACACTCACTCACACACTGATCATGACCTTCACACACTCACCATCACAACATCTTCACCTTATCGTAACAACCAACCAACAACCAAACCACAACCAACCAGACAAACCTTCACCCAACAGCACTAATTCAACTCCTCAAGAAAACCCCAGGAGATAAATTAATATACAAACACTGTTCAAGGTTCTAAAGAGATGTGTGAGAGATAACGTCCTGAGTGATAGATAACGTCCTGAGTGATAGATAACGTCCTGAGTGAGAGATAACGTCCTGAGTGAGAGATAACGCCCTGAGTGAGAGATAACGCCCTGAGAGATAGATAATGTGCTGACCTTCTCTCGTGGCCACAATATTGATTCACTTGTAAGGTAACCATCTCGGCCTTGTCTCTTGCCTTGTGTTCAGGGTCTCAACTCTTGCGTTACTGACTCGACGCTTTTATCTCGAGGGTCAAGGCAAGTGCTACGACAGCGTGTATACAGTTCCAGCAGCTTAGACTCGTTACCGGTCATTCAAAATCGTTCCAGCCGTACAGAGAATCATTCCAGCAGTTTAGACACTCGTTCTTGCCCTTCAAAACCGTTCCAGCCGTACAGAAACTCATTCCACCCTCCCCCCCACGATATTATCAACAAAGGTACAGGTCGCATCACGCAGGTAACCTCCTCCTCCTCCTCACCTGAGCTTTACTGGTGACTGCCTGTGACTACACCAGAGGCACAACATAACGGTGACCCACATGCAGTTGTTGATGATACTCTCTCCCCGCCTTCTTCTTCCCCCTCCACTTATCTCTTACTCCCTCCATTAATCTCATTCTTCTATCTCCTCTATTATTACCTCCCACCCCTCATCTCCCATTACCCACTTCCCTCACCCCTCAGCTCCTCTCCACCTGTCCACCTGACTCCACCCCTGCACCAGTCCTCCTTAATACCTCCTCCATACACCATCACCACTACTACTCACCCACACTAATAACCCAGAGCTGTTATAACAAACGTACTCTTGCTGTTATAACAAATAAACGTTAACTTCGACAGGTATAATCATAAACGTTAACTTCGACAGGTATAATCATAAACGTTAACTTCGACAGTATAATCCAAAAACAAATACTTAACATACTTTCTCTTGTACACAATAAGTTCAACAATATCTGTTCTTGAGTTTATAACGGAGAGAATAGTGAAAAAAACAGAAGAGCATCGAGGTGTGGTGGTTATGTAAACAACAAGTATTGCGTCTGACCCGTCACCACACACACAAACAAGCCTTCATTATCCTCTATATCTTAGAGGATTCATTATAATGTTCTATATCATCATTATATCACATTAAAACATTATAAAACGTCTTAGATACAACGTTAAGACACCTGACCATTAATCACTTGAGGTGTGTTAATGTGGTGTGCCTTGTATAGTGTGGGCGACTTATATGGTTGAGTGTGTGTGTGATCCAACCCTCACTACAACAACACGCACACACACCTCTACAACCTGTGTGTGATGCAACCCTCACTACAACAACACGCACACACACCTCTACAACCTGTGTGTGATCCAACCCTCACTACAACAACACGCACACACACCTCTACAACCTGTGTGTGATCCAACCCTCACTACAACAACACGCACACACACCTCTACAACCTGTGTGTGATCCAACCCTCACTACAACAACACGCACACACACCTCTACAACCTGTGTGTGATCCAACCCTCACTACAACAACACGCACACACACCTCTACAACCTGTGTGTGATCCAACCCTCACTACAACAACACGCACACACACCTCTACAGCCAACACAATATACACATACACATACATGCTGAAACACACATATTGACACACCCACGCACATACCGACCACCACACACATGTTGTTAAAGAAGGAACAGGTGGTGGTGTAGTCAGCCAGTGTAGCCCACGCCACCTACACCTACACCTGTGTACCTTACCCACCACGTTCAGCTACACCCCTCACTACACCTAAAGCCTCAGTACACACACACACACGTACACAGAGCCGTGAGTTCAGAGAGAAAGCTCATGAATTTACATCAATTCCCAGGTTAAGTACAGTTACCCAGCCTCCATTGGGGTCTTCCTGAACTACGAAAACACAACGTATATTACAAACTGAGGTCCTCCTGAACTGAGTAAACACCATATTAAAATACTATCCTCAATGGGATTCGAACCCGGGACGAGTAAGGACACCACGAGTAGAAGCTTACCTTCTGATCATTGTGTCGCCTGCGTGAGCTCTTGTTCGTCTGGCGTTTCCTCCTACGTTCGCTAGTGCTGCCGCTGCCTCTACTGCTTCCCTCACTCAGACTGCCCTCACCTTCACTGGACCTCACACCACTAGCCTCCTGTTTCGTCTCCTCCAGGGCGAACCTCACCTCCTTAACACACCCACCGTTCTTAACAGGTGACGAGTCTCTATTATGTAAGGCACTGACTCGACCACCATGCCGAGTGTCAGAGTCAATCAGGTGCCGGGTCACAGTGCCACTACTGCCCCGTCTGTGGCTGTGACTACTCCTGTGCTGGTGTGAGGTGGGCAGGTTGTCTGGCCCTCGTCTGTTCACCACCCCACTACCACCACTGTTAGTTTTAACTTTCTGTTTATCCCTGGGAAGCGTTATGCGGATCTCGTGTTTCTGTCCGTGTTTGAAAAAGTTGGTTGTATCCATTTTAAACACCAACATGTTGTCTGTCTGTGTGTATCGTCAAACACAACAACAACAAAGGTCTTGAGCGGCGTCACAGTTGTTCACCAGCTATAAACTTCTTCACTCCAGCACAACAGTGATCCAAAAATAATTTACAACAACTGCGTCACTGTAAATGTTACTTGTATTAAATAAATGTTTGAGTAACACGTCAGTCCGGCCACCCTAGCACGCCTTCTAAGGCTGTCGTCAACGAAATGTGGTCAGAGCTACATGGGTAAGGGGGCATCTATCTCGCCCCAAGACGCAGTTATCGTACAGCACAAACTAGAAGCGGCATTTCATCGCTCTGTCTCAACACGAATAACACACACATGGATATACACCTAAAAAACTATCATGTACAACTACCATACACATAGTTAATAATGTACATACACACTACAGGTATATAAATAACAGCAAGAGAATCAAACTCGGGTCGTCTCATAGTTACGTCAAAATAAAACCTAAAGGACCAGAAATACATCAAAAACATGAATCTTCGAAGGAATGAAAAAATAAATGATAAAAAATGCAGGAGAGAGGAAGGAGAGGGTGGGAGGAGGTAGCCAGCAGTGTTGTACGCCTGGCACTGCGGCGGTGAACACGGTCAACAACTGCCCCTGTATGACGTCATTAGGAATCTGGTTTAAGGGCGGCAGAATCCAGTCCTAATCCGACGGCAACTTCACGAACCCAACAACTATTTATTACAGCCGCAGTAGACGTCATAAACACGTCATCTGGCTTCTGTACCAAACTCTACAACGAAAAATGACAAGACAATAATCGGAAATAAATGATGGTAGTGATGTTTCCTTGTATTTTGTACCCGGAAAAAAAAAACCCTCATTAGATGCCAGTTTAAGCCACGTCAACAATAACAAATATAGACAAATAGCCCCGGGGTGATAATGACTAGCATAATAGCCAGTAAGTATAATGACACTTATAGCGCAGAAACGGAGACAAAAGACGAACGACTTGTGTATACAGTACGTCTTTGTAGGGTGTGTGTGTGACGCGTCAGTCAGTCATTATGTGGGTGTTGCTTCACACGTGCCTCACTTGACTGTTCTGCGTCACTCGGGTGGGGAGAGGAACAGAAGAAGGAAAGGAATGGAAGGAGATGCGAGAGAGAAGGAGGATGAGAGGGGAAGGATACCTCCTGACACCTCCTAACACCTTGATACCTCCTGACACCTCCTAACACCTTGATGCCTCCCTGACACCCTTGATGCCTCCTGACACCCCTTGATGCCTCCTGACACCCCTTGATACCTCCTGACACCCCTTGAGTGCCTCCTGACACCCCTTAGTGCCTCTGACACCCCTTGATGCCTCTGACACCCCTTGATGCCTGCGGCACCCCTTGATGCCTCCTGACACCTTGATGCCTCCCTGAAGCACCCCTTGATACCTCCGGCACTATGATACCTCCTGACGCACTTGATGCCTCTCCTGGCACCCCTTGATGCCTCCTGACACCCCTTGATGCCTCCTGACACCCTTGATGCCTCTGGCACCCCTTGATGCCTCCTGACACACGCAGTGCCTCTGACACCCCTTGATACCTCTGACACTTGCCAGTGCCTCCTGTACCTTGATGCCTCCTGACACCTTGATGCCTCCTGACACCTTGATGCCTCCTGACACCCTTGATGCCTCCTGACACTTGCCAGTGCCTCCTGACACCCCTTGATGCCTCCTGACACCCCTTGATACCTCAGGCACCCCTTGATGCCTCTGACACCCCTTGATACCTCCTGACACTTGCCAGTGCCTCCTGACACCCCGCCAGTGCCTCCTGACACCCTTGATGCCTCCTGACACCCTTGATGCCTCCTGGCACCCCGCCCAGTGCCTCCTGGCACCCCTTGATGCCTCTGGCCTTGATACCTCCACGAGCACCCTTGATGCCTCCTGTGACGCACCTTGATACCTCCCTGACGCATGATGCCTCCTGACACCCCTTGATGCCTCCTGACACCCCTTGATACCTCCTGGCGCGCCAGTGCCTCCTGGCCACCTTGAAGTGCCTCCTGACACCCCTTGATGCCTCCTGGCTGCCTTGATGCCTCCTGACACCCCTTGACTACCTCCTGACACCCTTGATGCCTCCTGACACCCCTTGATGCCTCCTGACACCCCTTAGTGCCTCCTGACACCCTTGATACCTCCTGGCACGCCAGTGCACTCCTGACACCCCTTGATACCTCCTGGCACGCAGTGCCTCCCTGGCACCCCTTGATGCCTCCTGACACCCTTGATGCCTCCTGGCCTGCCAGTACCTCCTGACACCCCTTGATGCCTCCTGACACCTTGATGCCTCCCTGGCACTTGCCAGTGCCTCTGAAGGCACGCCAGTGCCTCCTGACACCCCTGGCACCTCCTGACACCCCTTGATACCTCCTAACACCCCCTTGATGCCTCCTGACACCTTGACAGTGCTTCCTAACACCCCTTGATGCCTCTGACACCCCTTGATGCCTCCTGACACCCCTGATGCCTCCTGAGCACCCCTTGATGCCTGCTGGCCCCTTGATGCCTCCTGACACCCCACCCATTTTCCTGACACCCTTGATACTCCTGACACCCCTTGACACCTCTAACACTCCCTGATACCTCCTAACAACACCCCCTGACACCCCTGATACCTCCCTGAGCCCTGACACCCCTGACACCTCCTGACACAGTTTATGGACCAGATCTACAGTAAAAGAATCAATTTATTATTACAGAGATACTTTATAATATCAGGTCTTTTTATAATAAGGGGAGAGAGAGAGAGAACCTGTACACGGAAAACTATGAATGAAAAAGGAGTCAGGCAGTAAACCATAAATGGGTGTTATGAGTCAATGTGTGTGCGTGTGTGGCGAGTGTTTTACCGGAACTATCATGAGTTTTGGGCGTGAGTCACCTGTGGGCGTGGGTCACCTGTGGGCGTGAGTCACCTATGGGCGTGGGTCACCTGTGGGCGATTAGTCTGCCTGTCTGTTATCTGCCCAGCAAAAGAAGATGAAATTTGACTGGACATGAATACAGGTTTGATAAGATTAATAGAACACCTGTCTGATAACACACACACACACACACACACACACACACACACACACACACACACACCTGCAGTCCCCCGCCCACCTCGCGCAGTCCGCAACTACAACAAATTTCAGCCCATAAGAGCCCGCACCGATAGATATAAGAACAGCACCATGCCATCTATTGTTAAAATAATAAACAACTCCTGATTTATGTACTGTACAGCCCTGTAAATGTAATCAACGTATATCATTATGTCTAAATCACATGTAAGTTTGTAGAGTTTCAGCCACAGACAGCAACTCTATTAATAAACCGTTTATTATTATTATTACACCCACACACAGAGATGGTTAGGTTAGGTTAGGTTAGGTTCTGGTAACTGGCGGAAATATGTCCCTCCCTCCCTCCCTCAATGGACTGTACGCCCTCCCTCCCTCCCTCAATGGACTGTACGCCCTCCCTCCCTCCCTCCCCACGTAAACTGGACACCTTATACAGCTCCGCCCACACACCTCCAGCAGTGAGTTCTGACGTCACCCTCAACCTGTGACGTCACCGATTCCTTGTACCATCCATCCATACACACACATACGTCCGCGTGTGTGTGTGTATGTATGTGTGTGTGTGTGTGTAAACATGAGAACAAACGCCTAAGTAAACACAACAAATGATAAACTCAACCTGCCGCCCACACCTGCAACACTACACAACTGCCGCCCACACCTGCAACACTACACAACTGCCGCCCACACCTGCAACACCACACAACTGCCGCCCACACCTACAACTCATATCTCTCTGCCTACTGGACGAGTCAGTGAGTGGGCGGAGTGGGCTGAGAGGGGAAACAGCGCAGAAGGAAGGTAGGTGAGGTGAAGTGGATAGGAAAAGAGGGCGAGAGTGGGAGGGGAGAGGGGACTGGTGGGGAGAGGGGAGAGGTGGGGGGAGAATGCCCGAGAGGAGAGAGGGGACGGAAGGAAGAAGTGAATAGTCATGGAAAATTAAATATCTTTTGGGGACAGACAAGAGTGAACAGTCAACCCGTCAGCCTGTCAACACCCTATATATTTTAGATTGCCCACGAGAGGGGGGTAGTTTATTATCTGTCTAAACCGTCCGGACCTTGAAATATGACCTCTGACCCCCTGCCCCCCCACCCACACAGAGGCCACCACTTGCACCTTCACCCATCTGTTACGTTTGCTAGGTGAGTCAGGGTGTGTTCTGTGTAGTCATGGCAACCCTCCCACTACCGCCTGCCACCACCACCACTACCACCATAACATAACCTCTACCACAACACCACATACACACATACTACCACAACACCACATACACACACTACCACAACACAACCGTCATCATCATACTTACATGAAGCCGCTACCACAACACTACACCTCATACCACCACACCCTAACACCACCACACTAACACCCACCACACCCTAACACCACCACACACCCTAACACCACACCTAACACCACACACTACACACTAACACACCACACTAACACCCACCACCCTAACACCACACCCTCTCACACACTAACACCACCACCTAACACACACACACTAACACCACACACCCCTAACACCACCACACCCCTAACACCACACCCTAACACTACCACCCCTAACACCCACCACACCCCTAACATCACCACACCCCTAACACACACCCCTAACACCCTACCACACCCTAACACCACACACCCTAACACCACCACACCCTCAAACAGACCCTCGCACCTGGTCACACCCACAAAACTCTATGGAACAACTCTATACTGTTTCACTTTCTTCACCTCTCCTTTCTCCTTCCTTCCCTCTCTCCCTCCCTCCTTCCTCCCCTCCTTCCTTCTCCCCCCTCCTTCCTTCCTCTCTCCTCCTCCTTCCTTCCTCTCTCCCTCCTCCTTCCTTCCCTCTCTCCCTCCCTCCTTCTTCCCTCTCCCTCCCTCCCTTCCTTCCTCTCTCCCCTCCCTCCTTCCTTCCTCTCTCTCCCTCCTTCCTTCCCTCTCTCCCTCCTCCTTCCTTCCCTCTCTCCTCCCCTCCTCCTTCCCTCTCCTCCCCTCCTTCCCTCTCCCCTCCTTCTTCCCTCTCCTCTCCCTCCCTCCTTCCCTCTCTCCTCCTTCTCCCTCTCCCCCTCCCTCCTTCTTCCCTCTCCCCTCTCTCCCTCCCT